CAACGCCAGTTTATGGAATACCTTTCTACCATTTAACTTGGCCTCACTTTTTCCTGGCCATCCAGCAAACTTAATTTAAATATATATTGGAATATGAAAATAAGGCGGCGAGGTGAAAGTTTTGATTCGAAACCCTGAATAATAAATTCCGTGGTCGCGAAGTTTTTGCAATTCCCACGGAAGGATAATTGAAAATGTATTTTTCTGTGCAAGTATTTTAATTAGTTAGCGTTAGAAGTAAATAATCTCACAGCTTCTACTGACAGGTTTGGATAATTGGAAGATAATTGGAATCTGCGACAGACAATTCAAAAGTTTTATTTAATTATGAGTTTAAACGCCTAGACTATATCTTAAGTCTGGATTAACAACTTATCTACCTTCTGAATTTTTGAGCTTGAATTGGAACTTGTAATTCACTATCAAAAGGATCTTAAGTGTTTATGCTGTATACTTGCAAATTAATTTTATCTTCCTAATGTCAGCAGACAGATAATTTTGCATGTTCAAGAGCGCAATGTCCTTTAGATTTATTTCGTTAGTGACTTATTATATACAGGGTCCCAGAAATAACACGCTATAGTCACACAGGAGGTAGATAGGCTTCAGATCAGTCAGATAAAATCAACATGACCTTAGTAAAAGTTTTCTAGTTTTCGAGCATTAAGTTTTTTTCAAAAAATCCCTACTTTTTGCACCTTTTTTGCCTGTTATGGCTATAAAAAACTTACAAACTTATGATTTTTGTTCTAGCCTACCATTAATAGTTGAGAAAGAGAGTATTCACTTCATTGAAAACTAGCACGGTATGCTAAAGAAAAAATGTTAACTTTTTTGACTCGTTACTACTGTGAAAAGAAAACGTACCAGACTGAATCGGCAAATGTTCTTAAAAAGTACTCTATGTTCTTACAAAAAGTATAACATTTGTAGGTTCTTTCTAGTAAAAATTCAATAATCCCAAGTTTTGTCATTGAAGTCGTAACACCTGCGAAATACTACAATAATAATTTATTTCAGGCAATATTTACATTACAAGATAATAATGTAATTTTAGTTTATTTAATGTTGTAAAAAGCAATGGAAATAAAAAAAATAGTTATTTCAACATTCAAGAATGAATAAAAAAGGAAAATTTATAGATGTTTTAGACATTTGATAGAATAAAAAGCTATTGTAGCAACTGAAAAGTTATAATTTGGACACAAAAGCTGTACCTTTTATTTTTCATTTGTAGTATTTCGTAAGTATTCGACTTCAATGACAGAACCTGGAATTATTCAGTAATTAGTCGTGATCAGGATTGCAATGCGTAGTGGGATTTTAAATTATCTTATTCACCATGTTGAAAATACGCTGGTTCCGTTTGTTGTCAACAATCAAACTCATTGTTGCCAGTAATAAGTTGCCATTTTAAGTAGGTACAATGTCATCTCCATGCTTACTAAGATCCTATATCAAATTCTGATTATTTTTTTTACCTAGCAATATTTATAAAACAAATTGTTAGTTGGGCTATCAGTGTGAGAATCTAGGAAGTGACGTAATCTTGGCAGATCGACGTTCTTTTAGTTCATGGCACAAAACAAACGTAGATTCGCTTAATCACTCTCCAGTTGACCGCAGACTGATCAAATTGCCAAAACCCAATCACCAGAAGCAGGGTAAACTCGCAGAGTTTATTGAAGATATAATTCAACCGGAGCATAAGAACCCGTCTTTGCTTATGTAAATGTTAGCAAGCTCCGGAATTGCTTTTTACATCCGTTGAAGCACGCTTGAGCTGCGACAGCGAGATGTTTTTACAAGTTAATTACTTACTGAAACACTTAAACGGATTAGGACTGCATTTCACAATCTACATTAGCTGAGCGGGTAGGCAGCCAATCATACATTTTACTAAAAATGTCCATATTTATGCCCAGCGGTTGAAGCATTCATGTTCATTTTTTTGCCTTTTGTGGTGCGATTCTAGTAGCTGTTGCAGCAAGTAACTATTTAACAATTTTTTACACCTTTTCACTAAAGCAATAACATTTATTCATCGATCCATCATTATGTAGAAACTATTCCTAGGACTTTTGCTCTTGGTCAAAGCCCTGTCGGGTATTATTGCCCAGATATGAGACAAAATCAGTTAGAAGGAAAGGAAAAGGTCAAGGAAGGAGAAGTAGGGAATCGAAAGCACTTGCATGAGTTGGAAGGTGAATTGTTAACCTGTATTCAGTCCAACTCCACCATAGACGTCCCCCAATGCTTGTGCGCTCTCAAACCCAAAGGTTTCATACAGTACCCGAAAAGTAACCCTCAGACTTAGGACCGTAACGCCCCTTTCACACGATCCGGTTCATGCCGCGCGCCAGACTCTCCTACGCTATTTTTTTTTTCATTCCAAAGTACAGAATGTGTAAAGATGTTCGGAAATGCAGAAATAATAATAATAATCAATTTATTTTCCTTTAGACATGCATGAACATGTATAGGTTTCGTCAAAAAATACAATAAGTAAATATGTTTTGCCTGCGGGTGCCCATTTGATGTATATGACTATTCAAGGTGAAATCATCTTTGTTTAAGAAGTATAGATAGCCATATTGTAGAGAAGAAGCGAAGCCAGTGTCATTATTTTCAATCTCTTGAATAATTCTTTGCAACTATAAGTGCTGCTTACTTCCACTATACACCTCACCAGCCGTTTTTGACGTAAGAACACCTTAGAAGCGTTTACCGATGAACCCCAAAAGCACAAAGCATACAGCATGAGAGACTCAACCTGACCATGACACAACATCAATAGCTGATCCTCTGTAAAAAGAAATCTCAGGTTCTTGAATAAAAATGCTTGTGAATTCAGTTTAGATGACAAATAATCCCAATGAGCTTTAAAGTTAAGACATTGGTCTAAGTGGAGCCCTAAAAACTTAGTGCTTTTGTCACTCTGCAGTGCTGAACCGTTTAGAACAAGCTGAATCGCTGGTATCGACTTCTGAACGTTATGAAACCTTACAAGTGTGGTCTTCTCGCTGTTGAGAAGTAACTGATTTTCCTTAAACCAACTATTGATGTTATACACAAGGTTTTTTTTTATACTCCAACTACCACGAAGGCCTAAGGCCTAAACAGCCATTGGGTACCGTGGGGCTATAGGGGGATACAGGGGAAAGGGGGGACGCCACACGGACTCTGGCGAGGGAACACGTGTGCATGCAACATGCACACATTCTGGCTCCGCCTACGAGATCCGCCGGGTGGTACCTCCGCGTTCCACAGTCAGAGACCGTCTACCACCTACGGACAATCACAATATCCATAGGCAAGAAAAAAGTTTCTCTTAGGACGGGATCCGAACCCGACTGATCAGGAGACCGAAGAGTCTTCTACTGCTGCCACCGCTGCTGCCTGTGTAATTTTTCGATATAGTAAATTAATATATTACCCCGGTAATTCTCCACAGCTATTAGAGATATTCCACACATCATAGATTTCCCCATACATTTTTCCTGAAAATTAAAACATATTTGTAGCAGACGGATCGTTTATCTAATAGGATCTGTCATATGTTGGCGGATTTTGAGGTGAACTGACAACAAATTTTGAAACAGGTTTTGTTTGAGCTAATTTTTGATCACAGTGCGAGCCGTGGCTTTGAATATTTACGAATTTATTCCACTGAGTCACGTAACAGAGCCTTTCTGTGCGATGTGGATCGTTTATCTATCGGTCGCACATGCTCGTGGCTATAAATATTGCATCTTTGATAGTGGAGCCGAGGAACTTCTACAAGCAGATGACGCAGACGAGGTGGGCGTGATATTATCTATACATAGTGTCCCAAAACTTGACGTCAAACCGGAAACGGGAGATAGGCCAAGTCATAATAGTTATCAGAAAATCAAAGTTCTGTACTTATATAAATTATAGACTTCAAAATAATCGGAAAAATCGGAAAAGTCTACCCTCTGTGCTGATCTTTTAGTTCCTATGACTACAGATTTCAGCTCCCAAGTAACAAAAAATTGAGTGGATTTAAGTCAGGTGAACGGACTGGCCACGAAATTATACCAGACCGCCCTATCCATCTGCTCGGGTATTCTTCATTAAGATATCCTAACTGAACCCTCATAGTCTTCAAATAAATTTGATAAATGATTTTGTAAAAAAGTCTAAATGAGTTTCACCATTCAACAACAATGGCAGCTCAAAGGGTATTATAATCATTTATCAAATATTTTTACACCACAGCTCCAAAGAAATGAGGCTACGGTGTAGGAACACGCTCATTCCTACAATCTGAGGAAAAGCACAAATAATGCGCTTGTTGTTTTAACACAACTTACGTTTCGTGACGTACTACATGAAACTACTAGAAGTTGTTTCGAATGGGAAGCGTAGAGTCAATCTACTTGACGCCATATTTTTCAATTTGAACAGAATCAATTGCAATCTATTCAAATCGTTCAAAAAGTGTTAATCAGAACGTCAGTTACAATGGTATTGGAATATAAGTATCGCTTTATTATAAATCTTATTTGCTGCAAAGAAATGAGAGAACACGAAAGCCGCCTTCTCATTCCGTACAAGTCCGATTCCTTTCCACTTCAAGGAGTTCCACGAATTAGCTCAAAGTATTCCGCCACTTGATCAAAAAAATCATTCCTTGGGTTATTGCTGCTGTACAGGATGTTTTCCGTCCGACTCCCGTAGGAAATACGAATCGATAAATCCAATTTAACGCTGTTGAACAGAAGTACCTCTACGGGCCCGCCAACATTATGAATATAACTGTTGCCTGTTGCCATTTCCGTCGATAGCGATAGAGACACAAAAGGATGTAGTGATGTTCGACATTTGTCAAACCTTATGCAATTTGTTTAACGTGTATCGCACTGACTTATTCTACACAATGTTTACCAGAACGATCCCCATCACAGCTTATCTTTTGAACGGCAGGGGTTATGTAAGAAACCTAAAAAACGTAAAAGAATGACAGAACGTCATCTTGCACACTCTATAGGTAGTTTTTAGTGTGCAAATAGTTTATTCCACGTTTGCTACAAGTGAGCATGAAGTGAACGTCAGCTAGTTCCAAGTTGAAGTCTTGTTGAAAAACCTACGTTAGGTCACAAAAAACTTATATAATGTACCCGTGCGGGTCAAGTCACTGATAATGAGATTGTGAATAATATATTACAACCTAAGAATCACAGTTAAGCGTTCAAGATGGCGTCTGGGCGCCATCTTATAGCATTTTCTTTAATAGCATGTGCGGTCATGCGTTACCTTATTTTGAGGCTCATTACGTCCCTACAATAAAATGTCACTACCTTTCAAAATAACGGATAAGTTTTTGATACTTATATACCAATAACTAATCATTGAAACATAATAGTATGGCAAGGAAAACACCGTTTTACTGCACGACTAATATATAATAATTGCAACTAATTTATAACAAATTAATTATTTCGACTGAACTATTATTCCATCTCAATTTCGCGTTCGCTGTCCACTGACTTGCCTGAGTCTCGACTGTATCTGGTCGGGTATATATACTAATATCGACGCGCCGAGGAATATTCTAGCGTTTTCCAGGCAGAGACGGCCTCTCGAATACTCGCGATTATGTCGCGAATGGTGCAGAATGCAAGCACACTCCATACATGGTCGCGCAACTCTGGTAGCTTAAGCGTTGGCTCTGCCAAGCGACTCCTCGCCGCTCATGGTCCCAGCTATACTATACTTTCCGGTTAAGAAAATTGACAGGTTTGAACAACTTTTTTAAATGAAATGTTACATATTATCCTTTTACATATTCGGAGAGAAGTTTGACATGTCATCGATAGCGTTTTGATGATGTCTTGTCAAGTTATAGGCGACTCAATATACAGAACCGTTCAACTTTAATATCTTTAAATGTCGCCATTTTGAACAACTGTTATTTTACATTCTAAGGTTATAAAGTGCTTACCACCATAATGGCACATTTAGCTATTCACTTTCTTTAAGCTAACAACGATATGATTTTCACTCTTCATCTCAAAAATAATAGTAACGTTCATGCCTGTGTCATATTGGTATCTCGTAAATACTTGCTAGTTTCCTAGAAAGACATGTTCTCATGTTGTCAACCAAACAGTATATTACACCGAGTTTTATACAACTGAGGCATCATCTGAAGTGTGAATGACGGGATAGGCTTAATGCTATTCTGTAAAAATAAAAACAATCAATAGTGTTACATACGCTGTCTGATCTGAACAACGTAGCAGATAGATAGATAGGAGGTCAATTTACAAGTTGAGCCTCTTCATTAGAAAGAGACCTAAAGAGGGAAGTTTAAAAATAAGAATGGTGTAACTGTAACCGCAATATATATTCCAGAGATACTAATTTTTACTTTTTAAAGCATTGACACCTTTATCGGCCCACGACGTTATTATAACACAAGAAAATTAAATCTTCTCTGTTCAGTCCATCATCACACGGTAACCGAAAAAAGTGACCATTACAGCTGTACCAAAATATACAATAAGTTACCACAAGAACTAAGAGGTCGTCGAATATAAAAATGAACTTAAAAAGGGCATTCATCAGTTCTTAGAGCAATGTCACCTTAAAGAATCTCTTGAAATGTAAAATGTATATGTTCGGTATTTGAGTTTTTTGCAATAGTTTGATTGTTTATTTCACTTGTTTGTCTGCCTCGTTGATACTATGACATGTACAGGGTGGCCGATATGTAACTGACTGGCTTGTATCTTGAATATTTGTGAAATGAAATAAAGTACGTCTATTTTTTCATTTTGATATATTAAGACGCGCATGCCTGAGCATACTAAATTACATAATCCATCGCTTTATGGTAGGTTTCGAGAGGAGTATTTTCAATCACTTCCGTAGTATGTTCTTCAGCTGCTCTAGAGTATTTGGTTTCTTGGCGTGAGCATTATTTTTCAAAAATCTCCATAAAAGTCAGGAGCCGTTAAATCGGGTGACCTTGGTGGCCAGTTGACATCACCAAATCGAGAAATTGAAAATACTGGAAATATTGTTCGCAAAAGATTCATTGCTTCCCTAGCTGTGTGACAAGTTGTTCCGTTCTGCTGGAACTACATGTTTTGCAGGTTAAATTATTGAATTTGAGAAGCCAGAAAGCTTTGCACCATATCACGGTAGCGCTCGCCAGTTACAGTAAGATAATTACCTGCAGCGTCTTCAAAGAAATTGTCCAATGATACCTCTACACCAAACACCGCACCAAACTGTAACTCGACGCGGATGTAGTGGTCATTGATGGATGACACAAGGGTTCTCTGATGCCCAGATACGACAATTTTGCTTACCAAAAAATCCGTCCATATCGAAGTAGGCTTCGTCACTCATTATCAGTTGTCGGTAAAAATCGTTTTTTGGGTATTAAGCTGCAATATTGAATGACTGTATTGTCAGCTACTATCACGGTCACTAGGAGGTAGCTTGGGTCAACTGAATTTTGTATAACCGCAAATGCAAGTCTTTTTTTAAAATAGTGCATAATGACGTACGACGAATACCCAGTTCTTGAGAACGATATCTGGTAGACGTCTCAGGGCGCAGCACTACGTTTTCACGAACTCCCTGGATACCTTACGAACAGTTCGAACACGGCCCGACCATGGCAAGTCTTTAACTTTACCTGTTTGTTCAAATTTCCTCACCAACTGACGAATTTTGTTGATACTGGGCACATTATTTAGACCCAAATCAGTCAGTTATATATTATTACATAGTGTACTTTGTACTACTCTGTAACATTTTAAGCGTTCGTAATTTTTTGACGTACCTGTTCCATGCGTTTAGAAATAGATCAAAGTAATCCGTCTGGTACGTCAAAAGTGCACTTGTCTTCCCGTGTTCAACACTTTGGTGTGCCTTGGGAATCCTAGTGTTGTTATTTGCCATGCTCATGAATTCTTACGACAAAAACAACTATCACAGAAAATGTAATGAGAAATTAGTCGGCTGTCATCAAGTGTCATTATATGATTATGTAATAGTTTAGGCATTCTGAAAATGAAGTTACACAGTATTCCAGTGTAAAATTGAATCTGTCAATCTAAATTCCATTACTGTGTACAGTATTACATTACCAAGTGATTTACAAACGCACCCCAGTATGTAATACGCAGTAACGTTATTTCGAAATAAATATTCATTATTGGGCAGGAGTCACCATACCAGTATTGCCATTTATTTTTTAATACTGGTGGCACCATTACATCTGAAAGGTCCTTTGATATCCATTAGCATTAAATCAATTTATCTATGATATAAAATAAATTATTTCATTGTAAAAAGATATGTCTGAAGGGTTAAAGACAATAGGACCAAACGATACTTTGTACACCAACATTATTAAAGCGGAAAATTAATCGGAGCGTGAGGGTAGGGCAACAAACGCAATCCGTTGACC